GGGTGCGTAAAAGTAGGTTTACAGTTGTGAGTACATGAAACAGTTTATTCTTGTATTATTTATTAATTATTGTATTTATTTGTATTACAGTTGTAAACATACTTTCCCCCACCCCTGTACAGTGCGACCTAATAGACTATTTGCAAGGGTTCTCAGCTATAATTACTCTCGACTCCACTATTATTCATGCTCTAGCTCACACATTCCTTTATTTCCAAAACTTACAGGAAACTGAAACTGTTAAGTGCAGGAATCTGAAAGTGATAGAGACTTTTTTGGGGATATTAATAATGTATCTGTGGAAAATCTAGAAGTTGAACATAATTATATTACAGCCAGGGCAGCACAGCTTATGCCTGTAGAGACCCTGCAGAGGCCAGAGTCATTGGATCACTAGGGGGGAGGGGCAGGAGGGCGGGCTGTGGGAAGAGGGAGGAGGAGAGAAGAGTTTGGGGACAGGGGAGGGAAGAGGGGGAAAGAAAGGACAATAATGATAATGGGATAAAGAAATGCGAGGTCAAAGGAGAAATACATGTATAGGTTAAAATTACATGTATATAATACGCTGTCCTGGACAGCTCAAAACTGAAAATAGAATTGTGGTTTCTCAACCAGAAAGTCAAGGAATCACAGAATTTGTTAAATGGGAAAAGGCCTTAGCACATTGTCAATCTTACTCTTCCTACCAAGCATTGCCAGGCAATCAGTCAACATCAGAGAAATACAAGGGAATCTCCAAATCTACCAAATCATTCTTTGATCTAGAAAGTCATAAAAAATGAAAAAACTTTCATCTTAGAAATCAATTTCACTCAATGACTTTGTAGAGAAATAACATGTAAACATAACCAAATAAACATCATTTACTTTTTAAAAATTTATATATTATAAACTTTTAAATTTATAAATATACAAATTGATTGAAAAATGATTCACTATATATAAATTTCAGAATCCCTGAACTATACAGTTCTAATTAATTTCCTGCCTCATTGTATCATCTAAAGTTGTCTCAGCAAATGTGTTTTCTTATTTGTTAATTTATTGTTTTAAAATGTAAATACAATTTAACTTACTGTTAATTTTACTTTGAATTATTGTCTTTCTGTGCACTTCTTTATTATTATTTTTTAAACTTTTTAAATTTCTTTAATGTTTCTTTACCTTTATTGATGAGACCATTACAGATGTCCCCCTTTTAACCCCACTGATCCCTTCCACCCCACATCCATCCCACCCCCAGGCCCTCCCCACACCAATGACCCCATCCATGGGCCATGCCGATAAACATACAAGTTCCCTGATTAATCTCCCCACTCACACCCCCTTCCCTGCCTTCCCTCTGAGATCCCTCAGTTTGTTCCAAGCTTCTATGTTACTGGACCCACTTTGTTCATCAGTTTATTTTGTTTATTGAGATCATTTGGTACTTGTCCTTCTCTGACTGGCTTATTTCACTTAGCTTAATACTCTCTAGTTCCCTCCATTCTGTGCCAAAGGCCAAAAGGTCCTTCTTCTTCACAGCCGCATAGTATTCCATGGTGTGAATGTGCCACAGCTTTTTATCCACTCATCTACTGATGGGCACTTGGGCTGTTTCCAAATCTTAGCTATTGTGAATTGCGCTGCTATGAACATAGAGGTGCGTAAGTTCTTTGCAATTGGTGTTTGGGGTTCCTTAGGATATATTCCCAGAAGTGGGATCACTGGGTCAAATGGCAGGTCAATTTTTAATCTTTTGAGGAACCTCCATACTGCTTTCCATAGTGGCTGCCCCAGTCTGCATTCCCACCAGCAGTGTACTAGGGCGCCCTTTTCCCCACACCCTCGCCAGCACTTGTCCTTTGTTGACTTGTTGATGGAGCCATTCTGACAGGTGTGAAGTGACACCTCATTGTGGTTTTAATTTGCATCTCTCTGATGATTAGGGACGTTGAGCATTTTTTCATATGTCTCTTAGCCACTTGTATGTCCTCTTTGGAGAAGTGTCTATTTAGGTCCATTGCCCATTTTTTAATTGGATTGTTTGTTTTCCTTTTGTTAAGTTGTATAAGTTCCTTATATATTTTGGATATTAACCCTTTATCCGATGTGTCATTGGCAAATATGTTCTCCCATATAGTGGGCTCCCTTTTCCTTTTGTTGATGGTTTCCTTTGCTGTGCAGAAGCTTTTTATTTTGATGCAGTCCCATTTGTTTATTTTCTCCTTAGTTTCTCTTGCCCTAGGAGATGTATCAGCAAACACATTGCTATGATGTCTGAGATTTTACTGCCTATGTTTTCCTCTAGGATTTTTATGGTTTCATGCCTTTACATTTAAGTCTTCTATCCATTTTGAATTTACTTTTGGGTATGGTATAAGTTGGTGGCCCAGTTTCACTTTTTTGCATGTATCTGTCCAACTTTTCCAACACCATTTATTGAAAAGACTGTCTTTACTCCATTGTATGTTCTTGCTTCCTTTGTTAAATATTAATTGACCATAATGGCATGGGTCAATTTCTGGGTTCTCTGTTCTGTTCCACTGATGAATATATCTGTTCTTATGCCAGTACCAGGCTGTTTTGATTACAGTGGCTTTGTAGTATAACTTGATATCTGGTATTTTGATTCCTCCAACTTTGTTCTTCTTTCTCAAGATTGCCATGGCTATTTGGGGTGTTTTTTGGCTCCAGATAAATTTTCGAAGTGTTTTTTCTAGATCTGTGAAATATGCTGTTGGTATTTTAATAGGGATTGCATTGAATTTATAAATTGCTTTGGGTAGTATGGACATTTTAATGATATTAATTCTTCCAATCCATGAGCATATGTTCTTCCACTTGTTTAAACCTTCCTCTATTTCTTTTTTCAGTGTCCTTTAGTTTTCTGAGTAAAGGTCTTTTACATCTTTGGTTAAGTTTATTCCTAGGTATCTTATTTTTTTAGTTGCAATGGTAAATGGGATTGTTTTTTTAGTTTCTGTTTCTGAGAGTTCATTATTGGTGTATAAAAATGCCATCAATTTCTGGGTGTTAATTTTATATCCTGCTACCTTGCTGAATTCATTTATTAAATCTAGTAGTTTTCTGGTGGAGTCTTTAGGATTCTCTATGTACAATATCATGTCATATGCAAATAATGACAGTTTTGTTACCTCCTTTCCAATTTGGATACCTTTTATGTTTTCTTCTTGTCTAATCGCTGTGGCTAGGTCTTCCAGTACTATGTTGAATAAGAGTGGTGAAAGTGGACACTCCTGTCTTGTTCCTGGTTCTTAGGGGAAATGGTTTTAGTTTTTGTCCATTGAGTGTGATGTTGGCTATAGGTTTGTCATATATGGCCTTTATTATGTTGAGGTAGGATCCCTCTATTCCCATGTTGCTGAGAGTTTTTATCAAAAATGGGTGTTGAATTTTATCGAATGCTTTTTCTGCATCTATTGATATGATCATGTGATTTTTATCTTTCAATTTGTTTATGTGATGTATCACATTTATTGATTTGCGAATATTATACCAGCCTTGCATCCCTGGAATAAATCCCACTTGGTCATGGTGTATGATCCTTTTAATATATTGCTGGATCCTATTTGCTAATATTTTGTTGAGGATTTTAACATCTATGTTCATCAGGGATATTGGTCTGTAATTCTCTTTCTTTGTAGTGTCTTTATCTGGTTTTGGAATTAGGTTAATGCTGGCCTCTTAAAGAGAGTTTGGAAGTGTTCCTTCCTCTTAGATTTTTTGAAATAGTTTGAGGATAGGTGTTAATTCTTCTCTGAATGTTTGGTAAAACTCCCCTGTAAAGCCATCCAAGCCAGGGCTTTTGTGTGTCGGTAGCCCTTTGATTACTGCTTCAATTTCATCAGCAGTTATTGGCCTGTTTAGACTTTCTGACTCTTCCTGATTGAGTTTTGAAAGGTTGTATTTTTCTAGGAATTCATCCCAAGTTGTCCAGCTTGGTGGCATATAGTTCATAGTATTTTCTTACAATCCTTTGTATTTCTGTTGGGTCAGTTGTTATTTCACCTCTTTTGTCTCTGATTTTGTTTATCTGGGTTTTCTCTCTTTGTTTCTTGATGAGTCTGGCTAAAGGTTCATCAATCTTGTTTATCTTTTCAAAGAACCAGCTCTTGGTTTCATTGATCTTTTGTATTGTTTTTTTAGTCTCTATGTCATTTATTTCTGCTCTAATCTTTATTATTTCTTTCCTTCTACTTACTCTGGGCTTTTCTTGTTGTTCCCTAAGTTTTTAAGTTATAGGGTTAGAGAGTCTATGAAACGTTTTTCTTGTTTTCTGAGTAGGCTTGTAGTGCTATAAACTTTCCTCTCAGGACTTCTTTCATTGTGTCCCATAGATTTGGAGTTGTTGTGTGTTCATTTTCATTTGTTTCCAGGAAGTTTTTTATTTCTTTCTTAATCTCTTTGGTAACCCATTCATTGTTTAAAAATATGCTTTTCAGTCTCCATGTGTTTAAATGTCTTTTAGTGTTTTTATTGTAGTTGATTTCTAGTTTCATGCCATCATGATCCGAGAAGATGCCTGAAATGATTTCAATCTTCTTGAACTTATAGAGACTTGTTTTGTGTCCTAACATGTGGTCTATCTTTGAGAATGTCCCGTGTGTCTGTGCACTTCTTTAAATCCAAATCAATTCTAAATGCTGTTTTCAAAAAGTTACATTTTCCTAATAAGGCAGTATACTGGGAAACATTTTCTTTCTTTATGATTCTATAATTATTAAACAACCATCCTACTTTTTATTCATGTTTCGTGGATCATTTTAGTAGCTAGTAATGTTTTTTTCAGAAAGCTGGAGTTTTAAAAATGCATATTTAAAGATGTTTAATTTAGTGAATACTGTGGACATTTTCTTCTTAAGGAATAAATTTTAGACATACAATTTAAAAAACAGGCAGACTTGGAGTTAGGAGAGGTGAATCGTGGCTTCAGGAACACCCCCTGCCCAGTTACATTATACATTAGAAAGCACCTTAAATTCTTTTGGACTCAATTTTTTGATGTAAGATGGACTAAAGTTCTCTGCAGCCAATTCCAACTTCAAAATTCCTCAATTCCTATTCTATAAGAAAAGTTAGCAGGAATGCAGAAGGCAACTGCCAGACATTCACTTTATAAACAACTTTGCACCTGCAGAGATCTTTCTTTAAAACATATCACTGATTTTTAGAGACAAGAGTAACCCATTTTCAAAGAAGACTCCTCAGTTCTGATAAATTTGTATTTTTTGACTCATAAAAGCAATATTGTCCATAATGAAAATTAAGACATTTTAAATTACCTATCGAGTCAAAATCCAACAAATCTTCACAAAACAGTAAGAATCAAGCACTTACTTTTACTTGAAGATCCTCAGAGCTTTCTGGTGACATGTACAAAGCAAGCAGCACTGGCAGAATGTTTGTGACCGCGACAGCCCGGGCATGCTCCGGAGTGTGTCTCCCAATCTGTGCCAAGGCCCAGGCAGTAGCAGCCTTAATATGGTCTTCTGGTTCTTCTGACAAGCAGACTGACATCTGGGGTGCACCCTGCAGCGTTGATCAAAAGAGCAAGTGTTACGACTCTAGAGCAGGATTAGAGCCTTCTGTGTCTCTCAGACATTAGAAGAAATCATTTTGGCCTTGACCCTTTTGTTCCTAAATGGTTCAATAAATGAGCACAGCACAGGGGCTGTCATTTTTCAAGTCAATAAAATGACTAGAACTAATTTACCTTAATTATCCATTACAATCCAACTAAATTATCTCTGCTAGCGTTTACTCCCCAAATAGAGGCATTCAGCCAAACAACAGATACCACAGATTTATGTATAGGGAAAACCAGATTCCACTGTGACAAATTTAAAATGCTTAGATTTTAAAGACTTTTATTTTCCTTTGTTAAAAAAGTTAACTTAGAATCTTTTAAATTGTCTTTTCACTAAGTATAGCGGATCTGACAACAAAATAACTACTATAGATTTGAAATCCAATGAGTAATATGAGCCAGAATTCTATTTTAAGTAACTTTTACATTAAATATAAAACCTTTCCTGAATTAGTAAATACATTTCCATTCATTTTGGTCAATTTTTAATTTAATTTATTTTATTTTAAATATGTTTTAAAATTTATCTTAGAAAAGGAGGGAAGGGAGGGAGAGAGAGAGGGAGAGAGAGAAACATCTGTGTGAGAAACATCAGTCATCTGCCCCCTGCCCGCCCCCACTGGGGATCGAGCCCTGTCCTGACCAGGAATCAAACTGGTGGCCTTTTGGTGCATGTGACGATGCTCAGGCAATGGAGCCACACCAGCCAGGACTTGGTTAACTTTTAAATGATAGTTTTGCCTATTTTAACATGACTGAATGTCAAAGTAGAAATGATTACTTTTGTCACACAAATAGCATGTGCTTGTATTTTGAACTTTCAGCTTCAGTTTTATCGAAATAATCAAAACAGAATTAAATGACCTCAAATACATCTGTTTCTATATCTAAGGCAGCATCAAATAGCCAAATCAAATTATAATTCTGGATTCTGTATAGGAATGATTTTATAACTAATTTGAGACTATAACAATTACCACCTTAAATTTAGTACCACTAAGGCCAATGTCACACTGCCATGCTCCCATAGCAAAGTCCAAGTGATCATACACGCCTTTCCCCTGTGCCTTTACATTTGGTTATTAAGACCAGTTTCTTGAAGAGATCTGCCATATTTCTTCATTGGCTTCTTTTTTGCAACTAAAACTGTTTGTCTGGCAATACAAAAGGTCAGACCTGTCTTCCCAATGAGGCAACTTAACAGAAAGTCTGTTCTCTGGGACGTATCAAAACTGCAGAAGCTGGAGGAAGCTAAGTCAGTCCCCCCAAGCCCATCCTCCAGACTCTGACTCCCGCCCTCAGATGTTATGAATAGCAAACAAGAGAAGAAACATGCATGTGCTTGGAAAAGTATAAAGTATTATTTAAATGTGAAGTGCTGCTGTTAGTCCTTAGGGTGCTATGTGGGAAAAAGAAAGAAAGACACAGAACTGTGCATTTGCCTCAAACTGCTGCTGCCACCTTGACCTTCAACTAACTGAGAGACAAGTAGGTGGGAGAGGCCAGCTGCAACTCTGCCCTCGACCAAAGGAGGGGAGCGCCTCCTGGTTAGTCTGGGGAGGACATAGAGAAAGCAAACGCAATTGCTGCTGCTTTCATCTTTCTTCCTATGTGTAAGCTTTCTGACGATCCACAGCGGAACCAAGAATCAAAAATCCCAGTAATATCCCCACAGTGACCCTTCAGAAAGCAGCACTACTATTCTAGTCACTATCATAGTCTCTGGTAATAAAAGAACAAAAGGAAAAGTGTAGGATAAAAACCAAGTAAAGCAAAGAATTATCAAGGAATAGGTAGAAAATAAAGATCTGAGGGTCCCTTTTATTCTGAGGATTAGCAAGGGATAAAAAAAATCCACACTTCTGTTTAACATACAGAGCAGGCTTCCCATGCTGATAAGAAACCCACACGCTAGAGGGTTGCTGGAGACATGAAGCACACAGCCTCTGAAGCATTGCTCAGATCCATATTTATGCACTCAATCAATATTTTTGAGCACCTACTACGTGTCAAGGCTACACTGTATGGTGGGTTAATACCAAATTGTAAATTGAGATGAAGCAAATTCCTAAAACAAAGACACAGCATCGCTCTCTGACATGTGCTCTGAATTGCCTTCATCTAAAAAGAGAAATTAGTTCATGAAAGCGGAAGGAAAATGGATAAGAAGGGATGTCCTAGCCGTTGTCATCTTCTACCCAAATGACAGGAAAGGGGAGGATGACTCCTGGGCATGTAATTACACTAGTTGTCTTTAGTCACAGTGTGCTTCACGTGTTTGTAAATGTACACAGTCAACCCTTTAGGATGCAAACACACTGAGTATTTCAAAACAGGTAATACTAATATTTGGAAGTATTGATATTTTGTAGATATTAAATACTGAGTAAAACTTTAAACTGCCTACAGAGTAAACCTTACTTCAAGCATTGCTTTCAGAAACTTACTAATAAGCCTTGACAACATGCCAAAAAATTCTTCAGGTTCCCTTCACTCTGGTCAGTCATATTTGATAACCTGTGGGAGAGTATTACTGTGGTTCTGTCTTAGAATATCTCACTGCAGTAACCAGAAGAAAATCAAGAACAAACCTTGCTAACGATCACCGCCATTGCCAGGTTCTCAGAATGAGCCGCCACATAGCCCAGCATCATGATGCCAGGCAGCCTTATGTTTCCTTTGCAGGACCCAATGCAGTCAATCACGGCGGCAACTCCTCCTGCGTTAACTATCAACTGGGAAAGCTGAGGGGAAGGAAGGAGAGCTAGGTAGCTGTGACTGTAAGGACAGGATGATCTGTAAACATTACTATTGTCAAACATTTTTACTTAGGACCTAAAAACAACAATACGGTTTAGTGAAATTACTATACTTATTAAAGAAATATGCAAGTACAATAATCCTATTTTGAATGTACAAATATACTCACTGTGCAGAGTTTACTCTGTGCTTCATTTTTCATGCATCAGTGGCACAACTTTTATCTCTATCCTAATGGACGTCAAAACTCCCACCTAGACACTAAGCCTAGGCTAGTTCATAACTAGCTAACTACTGAAAGCCCCAAGCACAATGTCTGAGCATGAAGCAGATTACTAATTGAATGCTGAACGACAATGTCAGACTTGAAATAGCCTCGCATAGTTATCCCCCTTTGCAAACAGTGATTACCAGCTGATTACATTTCAATTATAAAAAAGGTTTCAAACAAATAAAGATGTTAGGTGAAATAAAGAATGAGGACTTTAAACTTTAGTGAAATGAAACTGATCAGTCAAAATATACCCAGAAAAAGATACAACTACAGAAGGCACCCAGGCCTGCTCCATCTCTATGCCTTTGGCATCTAAGAACTCAGGGCGGAACCACCACGGAAGGGCAGCTCCTAGAGGAGTCACACTAGGCCCGGGCCCTGCTGGTCTCTCCCACCTGGAACTGTACAGCTCTCACTACTCCCAGATCACCTAAATGACAAGAATGGAAAGTCTATGGTCCCCACGATCTAGAAATGGAAAGCAGGAAATGATTAAAAACAGATTTCTGTCTGACTCCATTGATACAACCCAGTGGGGTTTGCAATGAGGGGCCCTTTCGGCCCCTGGGAAATGTTTGGCAACATATGGAGACACTTGATGGTCACGATGTGGGGGATGCTACTGACGGGCAATGGGTGCTGCTAAATATCCATCCTCCAGTGTCCAGGACAGCGGGACAGCCCCCTACAACACAGAATTATCTAGCCCAAAATGTCCACAGTGCTCAGATGACAAACCCTGACCTAACCAAATCATGTGGCACAGCACCTGGGCCTTGTATACAAATTGATGTTTTACTTTACAACAAAAACTGACTAATATTATTGGACTTAAAAAGCTTTTTTTTTTTTCTCAGGTGTATGCTTTGCAATCTCTCTAATTAAAGTAGAAGCATTTTTCTTCACGTATTCATCTTTGTCCTTCAGGCAGGTAAGTACCACTGGAAAAATCTCTGCTTCAACCACCATTTCTGCCAGATCCACAGAATGTTTTGCGATCTGACTGAGAGCTGAAAGGATCTGACGCTGTCAAGCAAAAACCAAAATAAAACAAAACATTATGTAGAGTCCACTGCAGAGATCAGTAAATACTCAATTTCTTGAATTCCCTAATTTCCAAATTGAATGTCTTGGTTTTCTGTGGACTATTTAAATCTCTATCACAGATGATAGTAGAATATGACATTTAGATAAGTATTATTTCTTAATTATGTAATGCTTAACTTGTTAATTTACAATACATGTGGTAATATAGTACAGAAAGATCAGGCAGAACTAACATCTTATATTTGGCATGATGCTGACTGATAACATCAAAGCACTTTCCATTGCTTAGTTAATTAACATTAACAATTTTTAAACCTTATGGGGTATAACAGCATATAAATGTATAACTGGTGACTATTAACTGAAAATCAGATTGTAGAAAGCTAAAGAAAAGACAAACATAGATATAACAATTTTCATAAGAAATTTAAATATAGAAGTTGTGGGACATTTACACCATGGAATACTATGCAGCTGTAAAGAAGAAGGATCTCGTACCCTTTGGGACAGTATGGATGGACCTGGAGAATATTATGCTAAGTGAAATAAGCCAGGCAGAGAAAAACAAACATCACATGATCTTGCTTATACGTGGAATCTAAAGAACTTAATAAACTGATGAACAGAATAGATTCAATGACATGGGAGCATAGATCAGACTGACGAATGTCAGAGGGATGCAGGAGGGCAGGTGGGTGGAGGGTGGAGAGTAACCAAAGAATTTATATGCATATATGCACAACCCAAGGACACAGACAATGGTGGGGAGGGGGATGGGACGGGTGGAACGGGTCATTGGGGAGAAAAAGGGACATCTGTAATATTTTAAACAAAAATAAAATTAAAAAAAAAATTTAAATATAATAGTGGTGACCTAGAAAACCTTTAGGTGCCTTCCCACCCTGAAATTCAATCATGTGATTCCTTCTTTTAATGATTAATGTTAATACTGATGCTTCTAGTTTTTAACATTGAACATATTTTTCCCAGTCACGTCTTTATTGTCTAATCCTTACAGCATAATTTCCACATATTAAAAGATCAAATATGTAATATAGTCACATGTTTTCAATGGTATATAAATTATTTTTGAAAATGTATTAATCTATACACATTTCCATTTTCTTAGATTAGCAGAAGTCTGTTTTTTAACTTGTTTTTAAATACCTTCAAGTGGGCATCAGGGTTCAGAACCATCTGGGCTAAGTGAGCAATAGCTCCTGCATCCACTACCGTCTGTGCTAACTCTGGAGAATGCTTTGAAATATCGCTGAGGTCCGAAGCAGCAATCCTTTTCAAAGCAATTTCTGGCTCCTGGATACAGAATACTAAAAGAGGAACTGCTCCCGCATCCACCACAGCTTGTGACAGTTCTGTGGGTCCAAGAAAATAATTGAGTGAGTATGGGGGACTGACCCTTGTGCGAGCCATTTTTCACCCTGACAGATACAGCAAAGAAAAAAGGGGAGGATGTACTTCAGTGTCTCGACATCTGCATTTCAGATCAGCCCTCCTGGTTTCATAAACCATGTGGACCAATCCTGAGCTGAAAAGAATACAGGTCAATAGATGGACCTCCATTTACATGAACACATTTAGGCAGATTAGGCGGAAATGGATTTTTTTTATTAGGAGAGTAAGCAGATGTCAGCTGTTTAAGCTCTGACAATTCTGCACTTCTCAATAGACAAGCATTTTATGCATGGTTTACAGTAACGAGAAAAAGTACCAAAAATTTGTCAGACACACTAATTAGGCAGTATTTTGTACTATTTACATGAGTAAACATTAACATGAATCTTGTGCTAATATGTCAAATATTAAATTCCATGTATCTTATAGTATNATGTCAAATATTAAATTCCATTTATCTTATAGTATTTTTAAAAGACTTTTTAAAGCCTTGGCCAGTGTGGCTCAGTTGGTTGAGCACTGACCCATGCATGGAAGGTCACAGGCTCCATTCCTGGTCAGGGCACATGCCCAGGGTTCAGGTTCAGTCTCGGTGGATCATGTTTCTCTCTCACATCGATATTTCTTTCTCTCCCTCCATCTCCCTTCCTCTCTCTCCCAGGCCCCCCCAAAAAATCAAGCTTAAAAAAAAACTTTTTACAAAATGAAAAGGTGCATTTTTGCGCATATAAAAACACCTTCAAAATGAGGTCTACGACTAAATGGCCTACTTTTATATATATTAATACTAATGTTTAGATAAAGGAATAAATTTGTCTTAACCATTTTACTTGTCAGAAATAATCATCTTTTGAATATGCATGTTGATTACTTGTGTGTCCAAGAATAACAGCTATAAAAATAATACTTTTTTAAAAAAATCCTCATCCAAGGATATGTTTCTATTGATTTGAGAGAGAGAGAGAGAAATATCAATGTGAGAGAGAAACATCAATCAATAGCCTCCTGTACTTGCCCCAATTGGGGATGGAACCCACAACGTAGGTATGTACCTTGACTGGGAATCGAACCTGCAACCCTTTGGTGTATGTGACAACACTCCAACCGAGCCACCTTACCTAAAATTTTGCATTAGGCTTAAAAAAAACTTAAATGGAAAATGCATATTTAGTATTCAGACTTCACTGGCATTCACACTTTGCTCCAGCCTAGTTTAGATAAGTCCCTGACTTCAAGGAGCTTAGGTCATGGAGGAGGCTAGATAGTAAATAGCTCCTGGTGCTCTGGTGGAATTCTCTACAAGAACACACAAAGGAAAGAGGAAACAGAAAAGGGAGACAGAAATGAGACACTGGATGGTATTTTTATAAAAGTGGTCCCTTGTCAGCAGTTGTTAGTGTGACTCCTTTCGAGAAGTTCCTTGAAGCTATATGTGGGCTTCCACTGTCCACTTACATTCCTGAGAATGAAGCCAGCCCAAAATTTTTAACAACTGCATAATATTCCAAGTAAATATGCCATAAATTTACTTAGCGATTTCCATCCTCTAGGACACTGGTTTGGTTTGGCTTTGGCTTTTGCCATTATAAAGTACAGTATAGTGAACCTCTTTGTGCATTAAGATTATGTATTAGTTACCCATTGCTACATAACAAATGACCCAACCTCAGCAACTTGAAACATCACTTGTTATCTCACATTTCCTGCAGGTCAGGAATCCAGGAGCAGCCTTGCTAGATGGTCTTGGCTCAGAATTTCTCATGAAGCTGCCTTCACACTATCAGCTGGGGTTGCAGTCATTTGAAGGCACAACTTGGGGAGAACCTGTTCCCAAGCTTACTCATTGTTGGGAAGCTCAGTTTCTTGCTGGCCACATGGACCTTTTCAAGGCTGCCAGAGTGTCCTCGGGGGGGGTGTGCGTGTGTGTGTGTGTGTGCGTGTGCGTGTGTGAAGAATGTTGGCAGTTTTGAGGTTCTTGACAGTTTTAGATTAAACCACATGAGACTGCTGTGTTTGTTTTTTTAAAGTCAAAACTAGTCGAATATAGGTAATTTCATATAGGTCAACCTAACATGCACTGC